GGGGGGGTTGTTTTCTGTCCTTTAAACTTTTTGTTCTTTGGCATGGCTCACGGCTGAGACGTAATAAGGAAACGTCTCAGACAAGAACACCAAACTATACTGTATCGTATTATTCTTTGAAGGAAGATTACTTATAAACTTTAAGGCTTCCTGTATCAATGTCCCCGTTATCTTTCAAAGCCCATACAGGTCAATGAAACTAGTGCCTCTTGGCGTATGGAACTTCTTTCTCATCTGCAGTTCGTAGACTGCAATAAAGTAGCATTAAGTGTTGTTCAAATATAAAAGGTTGACCTTGGTCCAATTTCGTATTTTCTCCCCCATTAATTTTAATATTTTTCTTAAAGGAATGTGAAAAACGACTTCAATCAATCAATCAATCAATCAATCAATCAATCAATCAATCAATCAATCAATCAATCAATCAATCAATCAATCAATCAATCAGTCAATCAATCGATCGATCGATCGATCGACCAATTAATGAAAACCCACACCTCTACTGTTCTTTATATTAAGCAATTTCACAGACACATTAGAAGACAGAAGGTAAAAAGGATAATACTTGCAACAACGTTGTTTTATACCTTAAAAGACAGACACATGGCTCACTGATATTTATTAAGTAGGTAAGCAAATAATCTTAAACCGTGAAACCGGAAGGAAGTCCGGTGCTTTCATACGATACCTGAAGTGTGCTGTCTGCGCAATAGTCACCTATACCTCTCGGCGTTTGTGGTAATGGTCGGTCAATAGGGAATCTAATCTCTGGCTCCTTGGGGCTTTCTCGATTTTTGACTCATTAAAATGGAGTGCCTAAAGCTAACGATCCCATGCGCAGTTTGTTCTGTTTGGTTTTGGGAGGGGAGTTATGGGAGTTAGAGGGTAGTGTTGTTTTTGTTTGTTTGTTGTTGTTGTTGTTTGTTTTGTTTTGGGTTTTTTGTGGGTTTTGTTTCACTTTCAAAGTTATCATTGGAGCTGCCTGTCCCCTGCTTACACCCCCCTCCCTTGCGGTCCAAATCACTCTCAAACACACACACACCACACACACACACACACACACACACACACACACACACACACACACACACACGCATTAACACACACACACACAAACGAAACATATATAATATATAATGGTATTTTCAAAGACTTTTAACTATGGAGTAGGAATGAAACGCAAGGTTACGTGAAAAGCAAAAAACCTTCTGCATTACATGTCAAATAAAAACGAAGAGGGAAGGGCGTTTCTGTCACGTCCTAGGAGTTATCGTTGAAGTTATTTTTACAACTCTGAGATTTATATTATAGTTATAGTATAGAGTTATAGAATCTAGTATAAAATATCACTATATGCCTGTAGCACCACCTGCGCTGCATTCCTTTACGTAGCAGAAGCATCCTTTCACACCTGCTACCAAACCGGTTGGTTTCGACCTCGAAGACAATTTCAGTTAACCCCCCCTCGCGCCCTGGGCGCCAAGCTTTTTCAGACACTACTGCTCATTTTGCCGGGTACATCACAACCATAAAACAATTGGCCAACTTTACCGTCGGTGAGGTGTGGACAATGAAATTAAGAGAAACCTACTGCACAAATTAATATAACGACAAGATTCTAGTCATGCTTTTTGGAGGTCTCTTTTCGTTGTCCACAGCGTACCGACAAAAGCAGTTGGCCTTCTGCATTGTCGTAACGCGGTTCTGGGCTAACGCGTCAGCTCTTGAGATAATGTCGTTATCCTTCCGAAGATGAGTTTGATTTTTTTTTCAATTTCGAAGAAATCGCACAAAACGGATAGCACTTTGTTGGACATCTACTGTTCTGACGGTACTGCAGATCTGTGGAAGTTAAAACCAGCAGGGATTTCAAGATATGTTGAGAGGAGGTCAGAACTGTGACAGAATTTATCTAACAGCTCACATTCTTTGTCCCTGCAAAGATGAGCTTTGTCATGCGTTCTCGTTATTATAAGATTTGAGCTGCCGGTATGCGTGGTAAAAGAAAGACTCAACACCCAGAATTCTATAAACTTTGAAACTTTTAAAGAAAAAAAAAGCCTTTACAATTGCCGTTATTGTTGAAGTCTGTAAATAGACGTTATCAATCTGCTGGTAGTAAAAAAAAGCTCAACCCTTTTCCCCCTTACTTGAAGTAGGAGCAATCGTTACACAAACACCCATACGTGTTCTCATGCGAATACACACACACACACACACACACACACACACACACACACAC